CAGACTGAAACAGGCTCCAGGCTCTGAGCTGGCAGTCAGCACAGAGCCCGACGCGGGGCTCGAACCCACGAACCGCGAGATCATGACCTAAGCGAAAGTCGGGCGCTTAACCGACTAAGCCACCCAGGCGCCCCTCCCACTACACTTTAAAAAAAAAAAAAAAAGAATTTCAAAAAAAGAAAAAAAGAAGTGTTGCCTGGTCCCAACTTTCGCAATTTCTTCCCCTGGCTTTGTCTCTTCACAAGGTTCTATCTTGAGAGGAGCAAGTGAGCTGGTCGTCAGAGGTATTTTTTCACTGTAAGGCACAGGGGCGGTGCGCTCGGTGCAGGCGTGATTGAAGAGCTGGGACAAAATACGCAGGATGCTCCAAAGGTCAGCTGATCCCTTAGGAACAGGGTGATTTACGCCCTCCCTTCTGTCTCTAGGCTGCACCGCCTGCCGCTAAGCATTAGGACTGTCAAGGTCCAGCTCTTCTCCTCTGATGACTGCCCATCTCAAGGACTACTCTCTTCAAAACAATTTTCCAAGAGATTTCATTTTGTTTCTATTAACTCATTTGGTTATCTCTTGTTCATTAGCTGCAGATCCAAAAAAGTTACTAAAAGTATGAGGCAGGGTAATGATTGAAAATTATTTGGCAAGCAATTTGAAAGCACAAAAAGAAAAAAAAAGAAATGATGCAAAGAGGAGGATAAAAATTCAGGTTACTATTAGAAGTGGCACAGACTTAATTGCATATGGTTCTTTTTAAAAGCAGAGGTTATATTTTCCAAAATATTGCATAAATTAATGGTAAGTCCAAACATCAGAAAACAATTTCTAGAATGAATTTTAGGCATATTTATTACCAAAAACATGTAGTGGGTATTCGATAAAATGACATTTTCTAGATTACTTTTGCATGTACATATACACTAAGTAAATGCCACTGGTAAATATATCTTCACTAACGTGTGAGTTTTATGCTTGCTACTTTTTATTTTCAAGGACAAGGATCACCATATGCCCAAGAAAATGCTCCAATAATTTAAAAAAATTTCACAAAGCAATTTTCTTCTAGTTAGGTAGAAAACTCTCTACAGAGCTTTCATGGGTTTATAGTTAGTATAATGGAACTCAACACTTATTTTGTGTAACATGGCTCAATGGGGCACCGGACACTATAATTACAGCTTAATCAGAGTAAAATTCTGAACCTTGTTATGAGTAAGATCTTTCAACAGTAAAGAGGGCCTAGTGAAAGTGTGCCAAAGTAACTTCAGATTGTTGTAAACCAAAATTTATGAGACCTGTAATAAGGTTTGTTTTTAAACACATATACAAAATGTAGATGTGATAAATGATACATATATACATTGGCTTATATCCATATTTACCTATAGGGAGGTTTTTCTGAGGAAAAAAATGGAGGTGAGGAGTGACTTTTTTTTTTTTTTTAACATAAGATGTACATAACATAAAACTTGCCATTTTAAGGATTTGTAAGGATATGGTTCGGTGGCATTACGTACATTTCCGCTGTTGTGCACCACCACCATTATCCATCTCCAGAACATTTTTTACCACCCTAAGCAGAAACTCTGTACTCATTAAACGCTAACTCATTCGCCAGGTATCCTGAATACTGGTAACCCTTAGTTTACTTTCTATCTCTATGAACTTGATTCTTTTACATACCCCATGTAACTTGAATTATAGAAAATGTGTCCTTTTGTGTCTGACTTATTTTACCGACCACCATGTCATCAAAGGTCATCCATGATGGTGCATGTATGAGAATTTCTTTGTTTTCATGACTGAATAATATTCCACTGTATGTATATACCACATTTGGTTTACCTAGTCATCGCCCAAGGATATGTTGACTGTTTCCTCATTTTGGCTGTTGTGAATGCTGCTGCTATGAACATTAGTGTACAAATATCTGTTCAAGTCCTTACCTTCAATCCTTTTGGGCATATGCCCAGAAGTGGAATTGTTGGATCATATGGTAATTTTAGGTATAAATTTTTGAAGGAATCTTCATCCATTTTCTACAGTGGCTGCACCATTTTACATTTCCACCAGCAATGTGCAGGGTTCCAATGTCTCCATATCGAAATGATTGTCTTTTAAGAATAAAAATATTCTGTCTGCTGTCAGCACAGAGCCCACTTCAGATCCTCTGGCCCCCTCTTTCTCTGCCCCTCTCCTGCTTGTGCTCTCTCTCTCTCAAAAATAAACATTTTTTTTTTAAAAAGAATACAAATATTTTTTATTTTGTTATACAATTTCTGGTCTTATTTCTTTTCATTTCTCTTTTGTCACTTGCTTTTATCACTGAAATAAAACCACAGGGTTTATAATACAAGGCAGTTTGATTAGAAAGCCTAATTCCAAAAAGTCTACTGAGAAAGAAAAAGTTTAAAAAGCTAATTCACAGAATAGTCATATGAAATCGGGTCAGAGGGTATAGTTTCCTCCCTAAAATCTGAATGCCACACGACGTTCCCCAGAATGTGATGGCAAATTCACCTTACAACCAGAAGCTGAGAAGGAAGACAAAAGCAAGATCTGATGACAGCAAAGTAATAAAAAATATTTACAAATAAAGAACAGACAATGAAGTTTTGCATTTTACATGGAGGTAGAATTAAAGATAACTGGATAATGTTTACCTACATTTTCTGTAGCTTCCTGATGGAGACATAATCAAGAATTTAGGATTATTTTTTCTGACACCTTCTTCAGACAGCTGTATAACATTGAATGATGATAATATGGTTTAAAACATTATATGCATTTGTTTATATATAATTAAGAAACATTTAAAGGGTGGAGTTCAGTAAAACATTCAATATTGAAACAGGCCAGAATTAGAATCATCATTTTAAAATGAGGAATAATTATCTAACAAAAAAAAATAAAATTATAGGATTCATAAAGCAATTTGTTTAACTAGCATACAAAAACACAGTTTCTCAGGTTCACTATACTATGCTTAGCATGACACTTTTGTAAAATAATTCACGTAGACATTCAACCTCCAATGCTCCTAAATTTGTATGTACCATAATATCATAAAGAGAATACTTTACATGTATCTTTAGCAATTTCATATGAAAATATATTCTTGTAAACCATAATAGTAATTTTAACTTTACAAAATACAGTAATATAAAATTTTAAAAATCAGCATTTTTATGATAAATCCAAATTTCTTTTTAAAGAGAGATAAAGATAGTTTAGTTAAATTTCATCAAAATCAATTCAAAATAGAATTTCAGAATTACTATCTGGATATGAATAAATAATGTGACCATCTTTCAGAGTTATTTTTAAATTATTCATATAGGATTTTGAGTAGCTTAGCTACTACATGCACATTAAGACTATTTCCAAGTAGACGATAACGTTGTTTCACTGTTATCTTCTCAGGAAACCCTAGAAGAGAGAGATAATAATTTACAAGACAATCATTTATAATACTAACTTCCAGAGACAAAAGGTTGCATCCTTTAGTAAGAACACAGAGGTCATTCACATAAATAAACCTCTAAGGTCTCCATGAAGTTCAATTAAGAAATGAGAATCTGAAGCCAAAAATATTATCTAAGGTTACAATGCCTACACAGTGTGATATTATCATATCATATAACATATCATATTATGCTCAGCGTACACATAAGTACAGATAATATCCATAAAACTCATAGAAATCTGTATGGTAATGCACTTTAGGAAAAGCTGTGGCTACCATTATTTCACAGTTGTTTTCCTTTAGTTAATAACAGCTCTATGGAGATAAAATTCACCCTTTTAAAATGTACAAGTCAGTGGTGTTTAGGATAGTCAGGGTTTTGCATTCACCTCCACTATTTAATTCCAGAATATTTTTATTACCTCAAAAAGAAAGTGGCCCACAGCTAATAGCATACTGAAAAGTAAAAAGCTCAACATTTTCCTCTAAGATCAGGACAAAGACACGGATGCCCACTTTTGCCACTTTTATTCAACACAGTATTGGAAGTATTACCCAGAGCAATTAGGCAAAGAAAAAGAAGTAACAGGCATCCAAATTGCAAAAGAAAAAGTATATCTGTCACAATTTGCCGATGACATGATATTATATACAAAACCCCAAAAGACTCCACTGAAAAAGCTGTTAGAACTAATAAATGAATTCAGTGAAGCTTTAGGATACAAAATTAACATACAAAGGTCTGTTGGGTTTCTATACACTAACCACAAACTATCAGAAAGAGACATTAAGAAAACAATCCCATAAAAAAGAATAAAATATCTATGAATGAATTTAATCAAGAACATAAAAGATCTGTATACTAAAAAACTGCAAGACACTAGGGAAGAAATGAAAGAAGACACAAATAAATGGAAAGATACCCTGTGCTCATGGACTGGAAGAATTATTATTAAAATGCCCACTATACAAAGCAATCTACATATTCAATGCAATACCTATCAAAATTCCAATGGCATTTTTGACAAGAACAGAATACACAACCCTAGAATTCATATGAAACCACCAAAGACCCCAAACAACCAAAGCAATCTTGTAAAAGAAGAACAAAGCTAGAAGCATCATGCTCTGATATAAAAAGTGAACTCAAAATGGATTGAACTCTAGACTGTAAGAGCTGACACCAGAGAACTCCTAAAACATAGGCAGTAAGCTCCTTGACGTCAGTCTTGGCAACAATGTTTTGGAATCTAATTCCAAAAGCAAAGTCAAGAAAGCAAAACTAAATAAGTGGGACTACATCAAATGAAAAAGCTTTCATACATCAAAGAAAATCATCAACAAAATGAAAAGGCAACCTACTGAATGGGAGAAAACATTTGGAAATCATATATCTGATAAGGGGTTAATATCCAAAATATATTGAGCGCATGTATATTAGTGCAGCCACTATGGAAAATAGCATGGAGGTTCCCCAATGAATTAAAAATAGTACTACTATATGATCCAGCGACTCCACTTCTGGGTATTATTGGTATAAAAATGAAAACACTTATTCGAAAAGATACATGCACCCCCATGTTCACTGCAACATTATTTACAATAGCCAAGATATGGAAAGACCTACACACACACACACACACACACACACACACACACACATATTATTCAGCCATAAAAAAGGAATGAAATCCCGCCATCTGCAACAATACAAATGGACCTTGAGGTCATGATACCAAGTGAAGTAAGTCAGAGAGAAAAGGAAAAATACTCTATGATCTCACTTATAACGTGGAATTTAATAAACAAAGCAACCAAAGCAAAAAAGATCACCCTCATAAATACGGAGAATACACTGGTAGTTTGTGGGGAGTGGCAAAATGGGTGAAAAAGGTCAAAGGTGTAAACTTCCAGCTAGAAAATAAACAAGTCATGGGGAGGTCATGTACAGCATGGTGACTATAGTTACTAATAAGTTACTAATAGATCTTAAAAGTCCTCATCACAAGAAAAAAATTTTTATAATTATGTCTGATACATGGTAATGGATGTTAACCAGACTTTTTGTGGTGATCATTCCTCAATGTATACAAATATCAAATCATCACACTGTATACCCAAAGGTATTCTAATATTACATCTCGATTATACTTCAATGAAAAAAAAAGGAAAGCTAGTACCCATTAGCACTCACTCCCCAACTCCCTTCCCTGCCCCTCAACCACTAATCTGTTTTCTGTGTCTATGGATTTGCCTATTCTAGACATTCCATATAAATGGAACCACACAATATGCTGTCTTTTGTTTCTGGCTTCTTTCACTTAGCATAGTTTCAAGGTTCATTCATTCATCATAACATGATGTACTAATACTCAATCCTCTTTATAACTAAATAATATTCGATTGCATGGATAGGCCACATGTTATTTATCTGTTTATCCATTAATAGATATTGGGTTGTTTCTACTTTTTGATTATGAATTATTCTGTTGTATACATTTTTGTGTACACATGTGTTTTCAGACATGTATTTATATATACACACATATATAAATACACATAAATACACATACACCTAGGGGTATACCTATATACCTAGGGATGAACATGCTGACTCAGATAGTAACTCTAACATCTGAAGACTCCCACAATGTTCTCCAAAGCAGCTGGACCATTTTATACTCCCCCCAGCAGTGTACAAGGGATCCGATTTCTCCACATCTTTATCAACAGTTACTGTCTTTTTGTGAAGAGGTATCTTATTGTCATTTCGATTTACGTTTCCCTAATAACTAATGATGCTGAACATCCTTTCCTGTGCTTATTGGCCATCTGTCTATCTTCTTCAGAAAATATCTATTCAAATCCTTTGCTCATTTTTAAGTTGGATTATTTCTTTTCATTGTTCGTTATAAGAGTTCTTTATATATTCTGGATACAAGTCCCTCACAGTTGTTTTTTATATCCTGCTTCCACAAATGGGCTTTCTCACATTGGACTTCTATTTTGCTACTTTCTTTTTCAAAACAAATGACCCATAGATACAACATTTGTTAGAACAAAGCCTTGCAAATATCAACATAAAAGACTGTCCATGAAGTATATTCTATAATGTTAGCTACAATTTTCATGTTCAGTATCCTTTGGCATAGCAATTAAAATAAAGGAAAAGCAATTTAGATAATAAAATGAAGTAATTCAAAAGTATTAAGAAAAGCAAAATATATACTTTGTGAGGACCAGAATGTAGAGTTGACTATGATAAAGTTGCTTCAACTTCAGAGTTGACATTATACTTACTGCAATAAAATAAGTGATCACATAATAAAATTATATATGCAATTGAGCAAGATCATAAAACTACCATTATAAAGACAGTATGTCTTAGGCAAGCACATTAGACATCTAAAAAATTATTTCATTCAAATTAGCCAAAGATACAAATATATCACAGGCTTTTAGAATATCCCAGGGATGACTGTTCGTAATATTAAGATTGTATCACAGGGTAAGAAATGCTGGAAAGCAAACAAGTCAGATTTGTAAAAATTATATATATGTAAGAGTGCTTGGGTATTTTATATACAGATATAGCTTTTTTTAAAATTAAAAGGTGACTTTTTTAGAAACTTAGGTACATTAAAAATGATAATAATCCTCAGAAGCAAAGAAACATAGCATTAACAAGGTCAAGATAGTAGCCTTCATTCTGTAAGTGTAGGTTAGGGTCCTCTCCCTAAGCTCACTATCTCATGAATGCACGCCACTAGCGGCAGAGAAAACCAGCACACAAGGTACAAGCGGATGGATGCAAACTACCGTTAACGGTGGACAAGCAGCTCAAACAATGCCCATTTTGGATTCAGACTCGATTGTATTGTAAGTATGCAGGAAGGACAGGTCTGTCCCAGCGAGGCTCAGGGGTGACATCAGGTCAAGACTGATTATACAAATATCACGTATTTTACAAGCAGGTTAACTAATTTAAAGGCTTTCTTGTAGGTATTACACATACGTTTTCAGAGAGCTTTGAAAAATTCTAATTTACATATGTTAAATTTTAAAATGAGAAGTATTTATGAAGTAAAGGCTATAAAAGCAAATAAGTATCCATCGCCTTAAAAATAAAAGGTGACATTTGAATTTTATGCTGTGTGTCAGACAGTGTGTAAACATTTTACACGTGTTAGCTCACTTAACACTGTCACAGCGACCCTCGGACGCTGGTGCTGTGATTATCCCCATTCTACAGATGTGTCCACTAAAGCACATAGGGATGAAGGTGGAGCGAGGATTCAAACTCGGTCAGTCTGACTCTGGGGTCCATGCTACCTTTCAGTGTTACCACAGAGGCTGCTACTACTTAAGGAAACAAGCACTCAAAACGCAGGAATTTGTTATTAGACACTAAATTTCTTTTCTCTCTTTAGTGATGTGGAAAGTACCTTTGATTGTTTATCCTAAAAAAGAAAAAAAAAATAGTAAGCAAAAGGGCAGCCTGGGAATTAAATTCTTGAGTCCAATTCTCAGCTCTTTATTTGTTTGATGATGTTCTCACTTACTGTGTGACGTAGACTAAGACAAGGAAAGTGTGTGTTTTTCCTACACAGCACTCCCCAGGGTATTTGTGACTGAATGAGATCACCAAGAAAAAGGCAGAGAGTTACAAAATAAACCTGGTTGCTGTGACGACCCCCTGAGAACCAATTACCAGAGGACAGTCAAATTATATAGTCAGCTTGTTCCCAACGTACAGAAGGGTGTGCTCCAAAACCTCATCTGTAAATCCATTACTTAGAACTCAAAACAGGATGCATTTAACCCAGTTTCTCCTTCAAAAATAGTACTGTATTAATATTACAACAATACTGGATTTAGAAAAGTTTTGCTTTTCTGTGTTCAACCTCCCAGAGTTATCAAAAACACATTGTGTCCCTGTGGAGGCCTGGAACAGGTCAGGGAGGTCTGTCCCTCCCCGGCTGGTGCGAGCCAGGTGCTGGGAACACAGCCACCCCGGCCTGAGACGCTGATGGCGTCAGTATGGCCTACCCAGAGCACAGGGGCCAAGGAGGAGGGATCAGGCATGGGGCAGGGTGCTCTGCAAGGCAAACACAATGTGTCCAATCTCTTAACAGCAACGACCTCTGGATTTTCCAGACCGCAAAGGAGTTAGGGCTGTGTCTTTCTCCCTCTGTAACTGTATCTGCGTTTTTGTTCTTGAGATTCCCTGCTTTAGACTCTGTAATCTTTGGTCAGTTCTGGCAGCTGGGCTCCTGAGTTGCCCTTTCTTTCCATTAGGAAGACTCCTTCCTGGACCACCTCTCCACCTTCTCGTTTCTCTACTTTACAGGGAGGACAGACGGTACCTAACCAGTAAGAATGTGTCTCTCGGGAGACGAAAGACAAATACACTCCCCACCAAAAAAAAAAAAAAAAAAAATTTCTCTGCCACCTTTTAATTTCTTCATATAAAGGACACATCTACGCATTCTTTCACAAGATCTATGTGGGTTATTAGGGCAGGACTTCTGGAATCAAGAAAATAAGTTGGAGAGAGACATGCGATTAATAACCATCGGTGGGGAGAGGGGAGGAATCGCGGACTTGGCCCTTCTTCCCTGAAAACCATTTGCGACCATGACTGGAGTAAAGGCAGAGAGAATGGAAGCTGAAGGGAAGAAGCTGAGGCAGGTTATCAACAGAAGCACAAAGACGAGGGAAGGAAAATGTCAAAACTGGCACGATCAGGAAAGGACGAAGGTTTCTTACATCTATCTGGCTGGGCAAGAGTTTATTCATCAAATCTACGCAGGAGTCCCTAATGAACGCTGGGACTTTTAATAAATGGAAGCTGGGGTCTGTGTGTATCTCACATACCGAACTCTGGAGGAAATCCAAGGAGATTTGCTATTTCTTTAGGAGTGAAATACCGAAGTTTAAGCATTAACAGTTTTGCTATCTTTTCTTCTTGTGACAAATTGGTAAGGGATTTGTAGATATTCTCAATCTGGAAGAAAACAGCCAGGAAAACTGATAAAGTAGAGTGCAAGTAGATTTGCTTAATTAAGATCATCTCTTGTGAGACAGTTTAAGAAGCATGAACATATATGTATGCATTATATGTGCTACAATACACAGGAGCAGAAGGCACGGGGCAAAATGTCTCTTGCAATAAACTCTCTAATCGCTCCATCAATGGCAGTGTTAACTTTGAAATCAAAATGTTTAAAAATGAAAAGCTTAATGTTGAACAAATCAGAAAGCTTTCAGTTTACGTGTCATTTTTGATGCCTCAAAAATGAAATAATAAGAAATAAACAATGGCAATATGACACAAAGAGATACAGTGAAAGATAGGAAAAAGAAACCTGATCAGCTGAGGAAATCAAGTTCACAAGGCTAATACATGGATCATTAAAACGTTTAGTGTTTACAAACAATTTCATCAAATTAAGATATTTTCTTAAAATGATAAAATACATTTGGTAAATATAACTTCTCAAATTCATTCGTTTGCCTCTGATAGGATTTTTACCAGGGGTAAATTTTACTAATGGTAAGTTCAATTCAGGATGAAAGAAGATGATGTGATTTCACTTTAAAATAATGCAAAAATATTTTGCAGCAAGTATATCAAGCTTGTTTTTTTTTTTAAAAAAACTATCCTTTTGTTTAAGTTCATTTATTTATTTTGAGAGAGAGTACATGAGCAGAGGAGGGGCAGAGAGAGGGAGAGAGAGAACCCATGCTGTCAGAGCAGACCTCGACATGGGACTCGAGCTCACAAACCATGCGACCTGAGCCGCAATCAAGAGGCAGATGCTTAAACGACTGAGCCCCCAAGCTTGTTTTCGACCATGATGCCATGAAGAGTTGACAAGTGAAGTATTAATAAAGAGCCTTGCTGAGATGTACATTTCTGTCCCTAAAAGGCAGTTTTATAATGTGTGATCCAAAGAAAGGCTCCAATATTAAGATGCTTGTGCATAATTTTAGAGAACATTAACTACTGTATGCTGCATTTCAATTTACTCCTTACGGAATAAAAAGAATACCAAAGGTAAGAATAATAAAAGAGAAAGTGAAACAAAATATTCTTTGTACATAAAATCATCTAGCAAAGAGAAACAAAAAAGACTTATTCTGTAGTAAAGGATTATTATATACACTATATTATATGAAAATATGAATAACAGGTATACTCATTCTGAATTAGACATAAAATTATTTGCATATTCTCAGATTTTGAGTATTAAACATAGTTTTCAAATATTTTGGCTCTAAAGAAGATACAGTACCTGCACATCCTCTGAGGTCTGCAACACAGATCCTGTCCCTTCTACATAGCTTCCATAACTGAAAGATTAACATGTATGTTATGTAGCGTCTGATGTATCTGTTCATGTGAACTTTCTTAAATATTTCTTGAATGAATTAATCAATCTAAATAGTTACATCCTTCTGAAATCATCTGAAACACATAGCATGCTTTGTAAGTGAAAAATTGCTGGGTGAAAAATACAAGATAATTCTATGCAAACTTCCCAAACACTAAATTTGGCAGAGTTTTTTGAGTTGCGCAAAAACCACTTTGGATCATGCATTATTAATTACCATTTCTTTGTATTAATTGTAAGTTTCTTAATGTTCATCATAGAAAGCATGCATTTGTTAGGACTTTATATCTAAATGCTATTCAGTATCAACAGCCCTGCCACATTAAAACCAAATGTTACGTAGGTGAAAATAAATTGCTGCTATTTTTCATAATGCCTGAACCATCACTGCTCCTCATGCACCGAAAACCACACTCTCCCGGCCCATGATAAACACAGGCTCACTGAATGTGCGTCTGCTTCTCACTGTAATGCAGAATGTTTGCACTCTTTTTCTTGCAACAAAGAGACCACTGTATATGAAACTGTTAGAAGTATAAAACACTACAGAAATGCAAAGTGGTATCAGTAATACTTCTTCCCTAAAATCACTGCCAAGTTACTGTTCAAAATATTATCATTGTTGTTTTCCCTAATAGATAAAGTGAGAGAAAGTTACACCAGGAAAAACAGTTTTGCAAATCTGTTTTCTCATATATTGTGTGTGTGTGTGTGTGTGTGTGTGTGTGTAGATAGATGGATAGATAGATAGAAAGATGTTTATACTATTTACACTAAAATATACTTTTATACTAAGGTTTCTTTATACCATCTTTATAATTACAAAAGAATTTCAAGGTTGTTTTTTATTACCAAATTGATAAGTCTTGTCTTATCGGACTTGGAAACAGACAACAGCTGAGTAAAGTCTTTGAAGGCAATGGAAAGCCATAAACCCATTACCCAGGAAGTACAAGGGCAAGCATATAAAATCAGAATAAATATGGATGGTTTCATCAGGGCCATAGTGTGCATGAAAGCTAGCTAGCTAGTGGGTGAAAAAGAGGAGACCTGAAGTTGCAAATCGTACGGTTTACTCACTCACATGAGTGAAGTTAACAAACAGAGATGGGGTCTTTTACAAAATTTTCTGGAAAGGCCTAATTTTCCCCTTCTTTGTAGGTTTTAAAAAATTGGTGAAAAATATAGTAACATTCAAAAAACAACCCAAAGGTAACTAATAAAAGACATTATGATACATATACCATGAGAACAGAAAAGTTCTTTATAGGCTCATGTGTAATAATATGCCATTTATATTGCATAATGAAAAAAGTGTGTAATAATAATAGATATAGTATGTTACCATTTACATAATAATGGGGTAAAAATATACATGTACACTTAAATACACCCTGATACATAATACCTTGGGAAGATGAGATAGTAAACTGAAATCACTAAAACTGATGAGCAAGAGACAGAGGAAGGAACCTTACAATCTTTGTACCTTTTGAATTTTGAACCATAAAAATATATGACTTATTTTAAAAAACTGAATGAAATTTAAATATGCTTTAATGTGCACTAGATGATTTAACTTTATTTCCTGACATTAAAATTTAATGCCTTCCTATACATTTGATCATGAGAGTGGACATAAATTTTTGAGGTCTGATGTGCTATAAAAGGAAAGGTGCTAAAAAGGAGCAATTCAGTATCAACAGAAACCATGTTTCCACCATGGGTAATTAAGCTCTTATGAAGGTCACCAAACAAATGGCATTGTGTTTTATGAGCACTTTTGTGGGCTGTGCACATAATGTTCTGCCAGAAGGAATTTTTATTCCTGCATTCTATTGGAACACGAAAGCAGGCAATTAAGGGCAAAAAAAAAAAAAAAAAAAAAAAAAATCATTCTAGCAGAAACATTTTGTAAAATGGTCCTTATTTTAAGAAGAACTAGAAGAAACAATAACTCTAAAAACCTGTCTCTATTGAGTATACCGTTTTAAAAGTCTCTTTAAAACGTACCCTTTGGTAAAGCACGTGGACCTTCTGCAAGTGGGCTTAACAATGTCTAACAAAAGGGCGTATCGCAGCAATGACTTTGGTGGTAAAAAATACTGGTTTGTGTCAACATCATCTTCAAGAAAATCTTTTAGCATCTGCACAGAGAGATCACTGTCCTGCTGATGTTTCCGGTCAATTTCTTCTATAGTTTCAAGCTTAAAAAGAATGGCTTCTTTTCCAGAACACGGTCTGCTGTTATCAGAGCAAATATTTGGTTCAATTTTCTTTCTTTCAATTTTCTTTTCTGCAACTACTGTATTTTTTTCTGTATGTTCAGATTCACTTTTGGGGAACTCCATCAGTACCTGGCGTTAGGTAAAAATACATGACCTGTTAAAAGCTTTATTAAAAACTAAAAGATAAATTAATAATGCCCTGTCAACATTATGCAAAAAAATCTCTTTAGCCTTTACAGAGTTGTCCACAAAAACACAGAACTGGATTTACTTGTATGTATACAAGTTATTCCAAGTTTTTGATCATATAGCTGTAGTGTCCTTAGGCTAAAGTGATTTATTTCATGGAGTTCCTGCTTACTATATATATTAAGGAAAACATTCAACAAAGTAATAGGGAACATGTTGAATATAGATACAGTATCATTTTAAAAAAGAAGCTTAGAAAGCAACATTAGTTATAGAATGATTAAGTCATGGGAATAAAAGGCATAGCATTAAAAAAAAGAAAAGAAAAGAGAAAGCAACATTAACATTTCCAGAAAATGTGTCTTGGATCAATTTGCCATATTCCTTTATTAAAGAAGAAAAACTCGAACATACCCATGATATAAAAGAAAACTAGTAATTATGAAAAGGAAAGCCCGTTTCCCCCGAAAGGTTCTTTCTACTTGTGAGTCCCACAGGAAAACTTTGTTCCTGCAAAACATGTAAGCATGCCTAATGTCCTATTTTGTAAGAGAAAAATAGTTGCATGAATTCTTAACGACGATGCCTTTGTTAATACTGTTTATATACCGTTTTCGGAACAGACCACCACGGAAAGGCAGATGTACTATTGACCCCCTGCTAGGAGGACATGACTTTTGAGTTCTTACCCGTGATTATTAAAAAGCTTCACTGAACCACTGAAACTCCCCGTTTTCCACAGCAATTTTGCCGGAAACATGGACAGTTGCGTGCACAATTACAGATCCTATCTATAGCAATGGAGCAGTTTATTCTGGCTTGTACTAATCACTGTATTTTAAGCAATTAAGGCTATATAGCAGGGACCTCAAAAAAAACACAACCAATGTGTTACAATACTGTTAAGCCAGTTTTAAGATAGTATAACTCAATTTGATCTGAAATAGTCAATGGCTTCTATTGGGGGAAAAACGATGGATGCAAGACAGTCAATGGTCAGAAGGGAAATTACAGGAGAGAAAAGGAGGATAATGGCACTAATAACGGTTTTTCCAACTTTTATCTTACATTTTTTTTCTAATAATGAAAGAAGTGTTTTTATTTTTTGTCCTATTTAAAGCAATGAACAGCATCAGGAGAAGAAAAAGGTCTAGGACATAGACCTAGGTTGTGGTCTATACTATAGGCTCAATAGGACATATATAAGCTTCTACAAAGTCATTCTTTTTTTTTTTTTTAATGTTTTTTATTTATTTCTAGGAGAGAGAGAGAGAGAGGGACAGTGTGAGCAGGGGAGGGTCAGAGAGAGAGGGAGTCACAGACTGAAACAGGCTCCAGGCTCTGAGCTGGCAGTCAGCACAGAGCCCGACGCGGGGCTCGAACCCACGAACCGCCAGATCATGACCTGAGCGAAAGTCGGACGCTTAACTGACTAAGCCACCCAGGCGCCCCTACAAAGTCATTCTTGAAATAAATTAGTGGACTGAGATAAACTTACAGAATAATGAGAATAATAATAATAATAATAATAATACCACCTGACCAGGGGCTTGAAAAGGCAATGGTTCTGACTGAAGCTTTGCAATAAGGAAATACCGTAGTCTTGAATTTGGAATGCCGAGCTGCAAGCAAAGCAGAGCAGTTAGTTACTACAGGAAATTAAAGGCATCTGTATCAACTGTTAGCACTTAAGTAAAAAACAAAAAACAAAATAAAAAAAACCTCATACGGGTGTGTATTTAGTTTCTACCAGAAAAGTGGAAGATGTTTTTGTAGCAGATTGTCAAACCTTTTAAGTTGCTGCTTTGCACCTTTATTTGAATGAACAGAGACTGCATGTGATGAGTCGGAGGTCTCGGAGTCACTTTCATTGTGCACCTCCCAGGTAAGAAATTATATAGACATCCTTACATTCATTATTAATAATAATCATAAAAAGTAAAATTCAAGTATAGCCATTCTTGCTATTTACTACGTTTTTAAAAAGGAGGATGTACTAATTTTAAAGTTAAGAGGCAATAAATATGAAATAAACCTAATGAGACCAGACATAATACCAATTTCCAGAATACATGTACATCTGATTTTTTAAACGGGTTTTCTTTTAATTTCAGGACAGATAACTGTAGAATAGGCTAAAGATAATAAGAGGTTAACAAACATAGTGGCAAAAGAAAAAACAGAGACACTTGTAATATACAAGATCTACCAAATATCTTATCTTAACCACCTACTTTAATTTCATATCCATGAAACAGAAGCCATGTTTGCATTTAATTTTATTTTATTTTAATTCAAGTCTAGTTAACATACGGTGTTATATTAGTTTCAGGGGTACGATATCGTGACTCGACACGTGCATCCATCATCTGGTGCTCTTCATTCATCAATGAGTGCTGTTTCACTCATCTCCAATCCTCACCACTTCTTAGCAACCATCAGTTTGTTCTCTGTAGCTAAGTCTGTTTTTCTTGGTTTCTCTCTCTTTTTTGTTTTCCTTTGCTCATTTGTTTTCTTTCTTAAGTTCCACATATGAGTGAAATCCTACGATACGTCTGACTTATTTTGAGTCAAATCCTTTCTTTGAGTGAAATCCTTTCTCTGTCTGACTTATTTTGCTGGGCATCACCCCAATAGCTCCATCTATGTTGCTGAAAATGACACCATTTCATAATGTTTGCATTTTAATGGTATGTCTCCAAAAGCCTAACTAGAAAATTATCATATGTTCATTTTGTTTTCTATTTTGGATTATTTTGAAGCATTATAAACTATAGTACACCCAATTTGGAAATACCAAATGTCACAGATTTTCAAAACACAGTATCCTTTATTTTCTGTGTGGAAAGAAATGTACATTTTCTGTGAGCTCCAAGCTATATAATATACATTTTCCAAAAAATATGTATATAAATGAATCTATGTGCCAGTACTACATTTTTTAGAAAGATCCATATCTGAATTAGTTTCAAGATTTACATAAAATATTCAAAACAGATCCTTTCTTTTTATTGCATCAAATTCCCTGTGGAAAATTTTATAGAAAAGTTAATAATTTTGGTACCTACAGAGGTTGGAGATAATAGAAATTCTTGGTACTGAAAACCGCAATTTTCTATTGTTTGTATTAACAGGTCTCTGAAAAGACAAAGCAAAGAAAAAAGTAAAGCTTTCACCCTACAGCTGGAAATGGGGTTCTTATATAATAAATTACACATAAAAACTTCATTATATGTGAAAACTGTATCTCTACTCAAGTTGTTTGGAAAGAGAATGATCCTAGGTCTTTATTAAGTCCAGTACTTGAAAAATTACATTTCTTCAAAAAAAGGTAGAGATAATGTCTATTATAAATAAATAAAGCTGCCAGACAATTTATCCCAACTGGTGAGAGTTAGAATCACTAGTCAAACGATAATTTTGCGATGGGGATGGAACTCTATCTGTAGCAAATCAGATAGGGGAGCACTGCTATAGATATGGTGGGGGGAGCACTGCTACAGACAGTGGGGGGAGCACTGCTACAGACAGTGGCTGATTCAAGGACCCGGATACTTTCTGCCTGGACTACCATCTCAAAGGGCTCTGCCACAGGGCTTGCTTCCCTGTGACAGAAAATACCTCCCAACAGGGACATTTCTCACTGAAAACATTCCTACTTCTAAAGAAACAGGCAACAATATAAGCAGCTGAAATTGAGAAATACCATTCTCATTAAACTGAGTGCTCATTCTGCAAAAACTCAAACATCAAAATGGGAGAGAATCAGGTGAACCTAACTTTGTGAAACTTTACACTACTAATTAGTAAAAATCAGTATTATTAAATGAAATATATAACATATAGAAAATGTGAGAATGTATGCATTTATTTTTAAGATCTTTATTTCACAACAGCTCCCACCATATACCAAGTTTAAGATGAACACAAAGCAAATACATTTTTACCTTGCAGAAGATACTTCAAAACCTTTAACATTTTCTAAAAGAATATACTTCGGTAATTTTTGTAATCTGAAACAACAACAAAAACAAATGGAATTCTGCACGTCATTACTAATAAGTAACAAGAAAAGCCTTACTTGGAGATATGAGGTAAGTAATTTTACTGAACTCTCTATTTCCAGAAAAGAATTTCATAGGGGATAGAGACAACTCATATTTTATTCATTTTCCCCATAAAAATGGCACATCTAATGAAGTGCGCATCTGAAATGTTAATTCCCGTTGAAGTTTATCAGAAAACATGGGTACACACAGAGGCTCTGGACTGTACAACTTGCAAAGGACTACCGTTTATACAGAATGGCAGCTTCTGGGATGAGCCCGAGTTTCCAGGTCACAGGCAACAGGGTTCCCCAACATTAGCATAGTTTGCATTAATACTGTAAGAAGAGGTGACAGAATTTAACTCTTAGACTGTCACTCCCTGTCACTCACTGTAGTGGCCACTGTGGAAATGGCTAACATTTGCCGTGATTCCATCCATCATGGCGGAAGAGATAACCAACATGCAGGGTCTCTGAAGGATACACGTATAAGCTGATAATCTCTACAAAATGACACATGTCACATTCTCCCAGATCCAAAGTGTTAAATTTAAGGTAAGCTTGTAAAAAAAAAATCTAAATTTTTACCTTGGGAGAATATCTAGAATATATAAGAAGCTATTCGTCCTTGGATCAGTCACATCACCTTGCAGGCCAATTCTAAAGGACAAAGAAAGTTCATAAAACTCACCAAGAATCTTACTTATAGAGAGATACCAAATCACTTTTTTTTTTTAAATGTTTATTTATTTCTAGGAGACAGAGAAAGAGACAGCGTGAGCAGGGGAGGGTCAGAGAGGGAGTCACAGACTGAAACAGGCTCCAGGCTCTGAGCTGGCAGTCAGCACAGAGCCCGACGTGGGGCTCGAACCCACGAACCGTGAGATCATGACCTAAGCGAAAGTCGGACGCTTAACCACCTAAGCCACCCAGGCACCCCACCAAATCACTTTTAAGACATCAAAACTGAGAAAACTAACATTAGGTGTTCTTCACGGAAAACACGATCATCTGTGTGGCTACAGGGAACAAAATCCATTTATTCACTTAATTTTTTTTAAAAAAAAAGCCTTGCCTATCTAATAAATATACTTATAAAACAGTAGGCCAAATGACTTACATGAGGCAAACAGCAAATAGTCAATGAAGAATAAAGTGAATTAACCTCTGAAAATCTCTGTTTAGGAAACACACACACGCGCACACACACACACACACTGGCTGATGGCACCTTTTGCTCTGTGCCAGATGAGACGAGTTCAGGTGAACGCGCCGGCTGGGCAGGGCGGCAAGGACAGAGGAAAGGCGCGGAGAGCTAAGCATCTAAGCGGACCACAGCAGGGAAGACTAAGGGCATCCTGTCCAATGCACATAAGAGCCACCTGAATGCTGATTCTACAGACAGGGGCTGCGGCTTGGTTAGACTGACGAGGTCAGAACGGGTCCCGTAAAGGGGCAGTATTTGGACTAGCGATTAGATATTACGAGTAAGGTTCAATGCGATGAAGAATCACACCGAGACGAAGACTGGGATTGGGCTTCGGTGGTAGCAACAGGAACAGACCGAAGACTTCGTTACGTATCAGCTTCACTGCCTTGATGAGCTCCTGGACCCCACTCGTGCGTCTCCTCCGGCCTCCGGCCCGGCCGGAGCGCTCCGTGGCTGTGAGGCTCAGGGGGACACTCACCCTGGACGTGCACAGAGACCTCCGAAACCGTGGGCCTTCCTCTCAGCAACCCAGTGATGGCAGTGTTCCGGGTCGGCAGCTGGAGTCGGGCTGGCACAGGAGGCCCCGGCAGCGCTGGAGGAAGAGCCCACGCAGTGCTGGGCCGCATGCCCTCCGTGGACCGCACATGCCCGCAGGCGTTCTTACACGGACTGCCCTCCACCTTCTCTGATGAATTCCCAGGCTGCTCTCAGACACAGTTCAGATACTGACTCTAAAAGGATTCCTGTCTCCGGGTATGCAGCAAGCCGTTTTCTCCTCTGTGCTCTCACGGCACTTCCGGCATTCATTTACTGTATGGCTTCTATCATTTTATAACATAATTCTTTGTCAGTCATTTCCCTTAGACTATAAGCTCCTGGAGGCTGGGAACTACCCACTAAAAGCAATGCCTGGCCTCCAGGCGCACAATAAATCCTGGGAGAATTAATTTCCTAAAGAGTTGTTTACATAAAGGAAAACTTATGGGGCGCCTGGGTGGCTCAGTTAAGCATCCAATCCTTGATTTCGGCCCAGGTCATGATCTCACGGTTTGTGAGCTTGAGCCCCGCATCAGGCTCCACGCAGATGGTGCGGAGCCTGCTTGAGATTATCTCTCTCCCTCTCTCTGTTTCTTCAGTGCTCTCTCTCTCTCTCTCTCTCAAAATAAATAAATAAACTTTAAAAAAGGAATAAAGCAAAATTTATCTGGACATTCATAAATATCCTAATTTAAATGAATATTTTCATGCTTATTTATGACATGTGATATCCCACTTAAAATCATCTTACACACTTAAACATCAATATATAAAAGAATTGAAATCCTGGCTCTGACATTTTCCAATTGTATGGCCTTTAATAAGTTACTTAACTTTTCGATGCCTCAGTTTCTCACCAATAAAATGATGGTAATAGAAATGCCTATCCCATAGACATGTTAAATTAAATGGCAAACTCCAATTAAGACAGAGGATTAGCATTATTACTTAAAATAATTAAAAATATCTAAATGAAGATGGATTACTCAAGAGTTCATCTAAGATATAACTTCCTGAAACACAGCCAAATAAATACTATATAATAAAATAATGAATTGCAACATAGCTATGAAAAGTCACAATTATTCAATGTATATACAAATTGAGAAATAGAAAATTTATGAATCCATTCTTGATGAGCTTTTAATTACAGTTAAGTAATTTAGGAATTGAATATTTATTATGAAAACTTACTTTATTAATCAATTAAAAAGATTCCTGAATGCTCATGAGTTAAGTTAATTTAACGTTCTTTGGGTCAGAAAAAAATACTGTATCTTAGAGAAGTATAAAAGAGGTCTCATATAGTCTCTGCATATCTTCTACTGACCAAATTATTTTGCTCATTTGGTAATAATTGCTACTTCATTTTAGATTAATCCTGAATCATAAATGAGTAGGTAAAGGCACCCTTTATGACAATTTTCAAAATTATGAAAATGCAGCTAATAGTCTTCAAAGTGTCCATGCTTGAAAGTATGGTATAATTTGATTTAATGAATCCCTCAAAAGTACTCTCTTCCTCAACAGAGAAATATGTATCATACATACCTGGTGAATGGCTGACAGGGAGGGCTCATTAAAATCATATTGAAAGACAATTTGTCAAACTCTTCTAGTGTAATGCCCTAAGGAATAAAGATTTGGGGAAAAATATGTAAAAATATGCACTGAATGGGGAAGAAGGAAAAATGCTAACTAATTAGAACTAAATATATCAGAAATTATAACAGTTAATAGTTTTATTTAAAACACTTAAAAGTTTAAATATATAACACTTAACACTTTTCAAATCAACTTGAGTTAAGCTAACTGTCGAAAGCAATCTTATGAAGGAAGCTGGCGAAGTGAACCGAAGCTAGGAAAAGCTGAGTAACTGCCCTGAAGTCTCAGAGCCGGCCAAAGCTGAGCTGGACTGTCCCTTGAACCCTAAGCGTTTCACACCCCTGTGACACCTAAAGTCTAATACTCTGTGTTTTCTGGAGCCAAACAGGGAGAACTTCATTGTATAACTAATGAATCTTTAGCATGGTGTCTAAAAAAATGCTTCACACCTCTCTCTCAATAATATCTTTTATTTAGGAAATGTGATATACTGACCAGTCCCCAGCCTTTCTGAGCACGTTTCTGTTAAAATATCATGAGACAAAAAAAGGTCCCATTTTCAGATATTCACAATTAGTATGTTGTTTTACAGTTGTGTGTAGTCAAAAAATATTTTAAAATATTACAGATAAGATTCATCAAAATAGGGGCGCCTGGGTGGCTTAGTCGGTTAAGCGTCTGACTTTCGCTTAGGTCATGATCTTGCGGTTCGTGGGTTCGAGCCCCGCGTTGGGCTCTGTGCTGACTGCCAGCTCGGAGCCTGGAGCCTCTTTCAGTCTGTGACTCCCTCTCTCTCTGACCCTCCCCTGCTCACACTGTCCCTCTCTCTCTCTCTCTCCTAGAAATAAATAAAAATATTAAAAAAAAAAAAAAAGATTAATCAAAATAATCTTACTTATTGGGCTAAGTAGTTGGAAAACATGCCTTGTTGATTCTATTTCATATATCAGAAGATAAATACGGTAGAGTAGCCCACCTCCCTCATCCCTCATTTCACTTTCTGGTTTCAGTCAACTCTAGACCATCAGGTCCTCCTTCTGACATAGGGTCAGATCAGCAGTAGCCTAACTCTGATGCCACAATGCCTGCATCACTCATATCACGTAGGTGTTCTGTCATCTCACATCATCACAAGAAGGGGGAGTACAATATAATATTTTGAGAGGCCACATTCACATAACTTTTATTACTATATTGGTATAATTGCTCTATTTTATCATTAGTTATTGCTGTTATTAATCTCTTACTGTGCCTAGCTTATAAATTCTCTTTATCATAGGTATGTATGTATGTATGTATGTATAGGAACAAATACAGTATATATACTGGTTTCGGTATTATCTGATGTTTCAGGCATCCACTGGGGGTCCCGGAATGCACCCCCCATGGATAAGGGGGTCTACTGTGGAGAGAGATAAGTCATGGGCTTTCCAGTTCTCATGAAGCCCTCTCGGTGTACACGCTTAGACAGAAACAAGCAACAAGCCTAGAAGCACAACTTTCCTAATCATGACACATTTGTAAGAAGTTCAATTACATGAATAAGGCAGGACAAGCTATATTCCAAGTTCTGTAAAAAGTGAATTAACCTGAGGAACCCATCAGATGTCTATCGTATTAAAGTTTGAATGTATGTGTCTATCATTTTTAAATCATAGGCTTTTAAGTTGTCTAAGGTATATGTGTAAAATAAAATCAAAATTAAATATGGAAAAGTTCTTGAAGAATCTCTGAAACCGTGAGTTCTAGGGAAAACAACCTGTAAATCAGACACTGACCAGTCTGTCTGAATATACGGGGCGCAGCAGTGCAATTAGCACATCATACTCACATTAGAAAGCCTGTCGGCACAAGGCTATTGTGATAAGCAAATTGCTATTTTCATAGCTAAATGTAGATGGATTAAAGCTAAATTCCTAAACTAAAGTAAAAACAAAACACCTATCTTTTACATCAGGAGCATCCTATGTCTAAAATCTAAAGGAAGTAAACAGAGTTACTGCCTCCCATACAGCCTGGCATTAAAAAAATTACAATTTTAAAGGATTCTTCAAAATAGTGATTTTTAAAAATCAAATGATAGGGCAATGTGCAAGAAATAATTACTCAATTAGCCATTTAAAAAAATTTTAATGTTTACTTCTCATACAAGTGAGCAAACAAGAGACAGAGAGAGAGAGACACATAGAGAGAGAGACAGAGAGACAGAGCATGAGTTGGGGAAGGGCAGAGAGAGAGGGAGACATAGAATCTGAAGCAGGCTCCAGGCTCTGAGCTGTCAGCACAAAGCCCAATGTCAGGTTCGAACCCACAAACCATGAGATCGTGACGTGAGCCGAAGATGGACACTTAACTGACTGAGCCACCCAGGTGCCCATAGTTTCTGCCTCCAATACAGCTTGGCATAAAAAATTACAATCTTAAAGCATCCTTCAAAATAGTGATTTTTAAAAATCAAATGATAGGGCAATATGCAAGAAATAATTACTCAATTACGCCATTTACAACTCTATTTAACCTGACATTCTAGGTCATTAAATGTGTTGAAATTCAAGAAAGTAGTTACGGAGATACACAATAATCTTTAATAATTTGATGTCTGAAAGCTGATGGAAACCTATTATTTTTATGTAAGCTGGCCATACAAGTTATGAAAATACCTTTGCTTTCAGAGAATGCTAGGTGAACTCGGCGTCGTAACACTTTATCGCCCATCAATGAGCAGTTTAATAGTTCCACTACTGGCTTCATTGCTTCTTTTTGCAGAAAGTCTCCTTGCTATTCTTTTAATTCATTTTCATTTATACTTTAGGAAAAACTTGGTAGGTTAGAAAACTTTTGACTCTTTTTAGTAAATTTATATAGTTAATCTAAAGAGACCTGAAATTTGTATAATATTCAGTCATACTTCCATTTTTCAAATCTTTTAGTCCCGTGTGGGTCATGCAGATTTCTTAAGTTTATTTCTCAGTGTTTATGTATCTTGTTGCTACTATAAATAAGAACTCTCTTCCATTATATTTTCTAACATGTCTTTTTTTGTATATATAATTAGCTACTGGTTATCATACTTTTTAAAGACTCCTTATTAAATGACCTAATTGTTCCTCATACTATTTTTAGCATAGTATATTTTTTTGTTTTCCAGGCCTATACAATTATTCTTTAGAATCCTCCTTAATATTTATATGCTATTTCCTAATGAGTATACTACCTAACATCTCCAACAATACTAAATAACACTGTCAAAGGTGGACATCCTTGTTTGATTCATTGTTTTAGTGAGAATGCTTTTAAAGTTTTACCATGTAACATGTTACCGGATTTGGAGATAATATGTGTGTGTATGTGTTTAAACAGAAATATAAACATGCACATATACATGTAAAGCCACCAAATGACATACATGTATGTAGTACACAT